GACCTCGAAAGGTCAAGGTCAAAGGTTGACCTCAGGTCACGTGACCTCGAGGTCATCATGTATATCATTCGATGCGTCTTGACGAGCTGAACACAATGAGACCATCCACGCGTCTGTATCTTGTTCCTGTACGGAGTTATTGGCTAAAAACCTTTGGTGACCTTTGATGACGTCACATGACCTCACAGCTGCCCAACAGCAAAACAGACCTCAAGGTAGTGAAGGTTGATCGTATATGAAGTCATGTATGGTATATGGGGCCATTCCGACCCGTTTTAGTGGTAAAAACAGGGAGTTGATTTTTCCCCCATTGACTTATAATGGGGAGGTCGCGAAATTGACCTGACCTTAGGTCACCGATATCAAAATTCCGAGATAAACAAATTGTAGCTACTAATGACCTAATAATATCCTGCGACTTTCAAAGGCCTCCGACATCTACTGTAGTTCTGGCACGGTGACAAAGTTGCAAAAAAGTGACTTGAGGTTGGGTCATTCAAAGTGACCTGGTGACCTGACCTTGAAAGGTAGGAGGTTCAAACTTGCACACCATGTGTAAAATTGATAAGGAAATAGTCATACCAAATTTCGCGGCGCTACGCGCCGCGGTTTTCCCGCTATTCGCGAAAAACCTCAGGGGGGCGGATATCCGCCCCCCCCGTCGGTGCGCGGGTTAACATGTTTGACCACACACATACGACAAACAAATATTACGAACTTAGTGTCTAATGTAACGTTTAATATATAAGGTTTGTTTATAGACGGTGCGTCAACAATTTGCAAACGCGGTACGAGAACACCTCATATTTACATGATTTTGGAAAGCAGTCGTTATACTTGTAGAACCTTGTCCGTAAAAACGTATTAGATTGTATATGACTGTTTGCAGCCTAATCTCAGGCTATATTGCTGTTAAATCTGCCAAAACCAAGATCAAATGTGAAATCATCTCTTCCTTGAGTCGCCAGCGTAGCCATCTTAGTGCTCTTCAGTGCGTTACCGGCTGTCTTATCTGCCGCTGACACCTTCTCATCCCCTCTCGGTAGGAACGCCAACTTGTCTACCGTCTTAGTAGCAGCAGAATAACTAGATTACAGAAATCATAGACTACTGAATTCTTTTGGTCAGAGGCAAGCGAATGTCAGAGGCGGGTCTACGCAAACTGCCACTGCGCATCATCAATTTCTGCTGCACTACAATCCCTGGAGTTTCATCAATGATCGTTTTCGCCACTGACTATATCTGTTGCAAACTATGTTCCAGGCATCCCTGAATCCCGAATACTTGTCGTAGTTCAATAATACCTGTTTTCACGACGGCCATCTGGTACACATTAGGTGCAGATTAGGTGCAGATTTAGTGCAGATTTGGTCAAATTAGGTTCACTGTGTTTCTTAAAAGTTGTCCGTTTGGGTTACACAGATGCTTGCAGAGCTCATTTGTTAACCCGCCCCCCAGTGGCGGTCTCACCCAACTTCGCCCTATGGGGGGGGGGGGCATATGTTACCACCCACCTCTAACTCAAAAACTAAGAGGGATAGAAAGACGCGGTAAAAAGCAGTCGATAGCTCTCAATGCGTACGTTTGAAAGTATTTGAGTCATTTTTCACCTTAGAGCAATATTGGGGTCACCAGAGGTCATCAAAGGTCAAAATTTGCCAATTGTCATTATATTTTTCAGAAAACAAGCCGATATCTCAGGAACTATGGTAGCTAGAAAAACGCAGGGGAAAGCAATCGATAGCCTTTGAACTCTTCTTTTGATAAGGTCATTATCGAAATTGACCTCAGGTCAACGGTGTTGCCTCCAGAGGGCAAAAACTCAAAAAACAGCTGTTTTTACGAAAAGAGTTTTTCGACAATAACTTTCGACTACAAAAAGCCACGACATTTCTATTGCCAGATTCGTGTTCCCCTTGCCGAGACGCGTCGAATGAACTATAATTTGACCTTGAAAGGTCAGCTTGAAAATTTGACCTCAGGTCAAGGTCATGACCTGACCGGAAAAGGTCATGTTGCATATCAGTCGATGCGTCTTAACAAGACAAACACAATGAGACCATCCCAAGCGTTCTATCTCTTTCCAATCGTGAGTTATTGGCAAAAAACTGTTTGTAGCCTCAAATGACCTCGGATGACCTTTCTAGAGGCTATCAGCAAAAGTGATACCTTGGTCATCACGAGTGGTCTAAATCATCGTGATTCTGAAATATTTGGACTGTTCCTATGCGTACACACGGATCTAGAGGCATTTTCATTTTTCTCCATTGACTTGTAATGGAAAGGTCACGCCACTGACCTGACCTTAGGTCACGGATATAAAAAATCCGAGATATACAAATTGTAGGCGCCCATAACAGCATGCAATCCACCAAGTTTAAAACCTTTCTGACAAACACTGCAGGCTGGACATGACTGCAAACTTTTTTAGGCTTGGTCAGTTAACTTGACCTGGTGACCTGACCTGACATGACCTGGGGCCAAATATTTTACACATTGTCCAAAATTGATGTACCAAAAGCTACCCCAAGCGGCGCGGCGCTATGCGCCGCGGTTTTTATTCACACGCAAAAAACGCGACAGGGTGGTAACATATGCCCCCCCCCCCACTGGGGCGAAGGTTAAAATATCAGACATAATGTTCCATTTGAACCCTGAAAAAATACATGATACAAAAATATTTATTGTAAAAGAGATTGTGTGCAGATTTAGTCAAATGAGAGTGCCGATTCGCCTGATAGCCTTCGTGAAAATGGCTAATATCAATATAACGCCACCACAATGAGCAATAAAGGAATTTTGCCCTATTTGCTCATGACGAAATCTTATTTACGTCATAATCGAACTTGAAATAAACATTTACTTCCTTATCTAGGGAACAAGTTTGGAAATATTTAGTTTACTCTGGACTTGGACGTATGTGATATGTACGGCTGACGCTCACCTTAGTATTAGCTTACCAACGTCTGTTGAGTGTATCGCATGTTAATTATGCTCCGCATGTATTGATCCCGGTAATAAATGTCGTAACAATAATGGCGATAATGGAGCAATCCGTCCTATACAGTACAAAGTGTGTCAATTGGGCAGATATAAATTGGTACATGGTGTATGTCGCCCTGGAATTGTCATTAATCTCCCGTAGCTATTTATATACATGACAACACAAAAGACTCCGCACATCAGGACCAAGCAGCAATGAACGACGTTTGCGGTTTGAGCACCGTCATTTAACCCGCGCCCTGCTGGGGGTCCTGGATTTCCACGCCCTGCTGGGGGGGGGGGGGGTGTTTGAACACCCCCCCTTCTAACTCGGCTCCTGGGCCACGTAGCGATACGCGGAAGGCGGCGTTCGAAAGAGCGTCAAAAATAATGACGAAATCACTTCGGTCAATTTTTTGGTCAGGTCAAAGGTCAGGTCACCAGAGGTCATTGAAGGCAAAATTTCGCCGATTTCCAGGTCGAATGTCGACAATTTCCAAGAAGCCAACGCATAACTCGGGAACCAATAGATCTACAGCGCTGCGGAAAAGCGCATTCGATAGCCCTATTAACGCCCTTTCTGAGTAATTTTCTCAGATTTCACCTAACGTCAACGGTTTTGCCTGCAGGGGGCAAAAACTGCAAAAATAGCCGATTTTTTCGGAAACAGTTTTTCTGCAATAACTTTTGACCCAAGCCTTGTACGAGCTTACTTTTACCGGCATCGTGTTACTCTCGTCAAGACGCATCGAATGAACTATAACTTGACCTTGAAAGGTCAACTTGAAAATTTGACCTCAGGTCAAGGTCACGACCTGACCGGAAAGGGTCATGTTGCATATCAGTCTATCCGTATCGTCGAGCTGAACACATCTAAGGCATTTTCATCGCTCTAGCATGCCTCTATCAAAAGTTATTTGCGAAAAACTGTTAGATACCATTCGTGACCTAAGATGACCTCAGGGCATAAACAGGGGTCACGGACACCATTTTCATGTTCAGTGTGTCTAAACCACTTGTAATTCAGTGTTTGGGAGTGTTTATAATGTCTTTCGTTCAAAAGAGGCGCATTTCAATTTTCTCCCATTGACTTATAATGGGGAGGTCGCAAAATTGACCTGACCTTAGGTCATCGATATCAAAATTCTGAGATATACATTTTGTACATGCTATTGCTCTTAGCAATCGCTGAAAGTTTCAAAGCGATCGGTCACTCGGTGTAGCTATGACAGACATTGAAACTTTTTATGAGGTGAGGTCACTTCAAGTGACCTGGTGACCTGACCTTGAATGACCTTGGTCTGAAATTTTCACAACATGTGTAGAATTGATGTATGATAAGGTGTACCAAAAACGGCGGCGCTCCGCGCCGCCGTTTTTGAGATATTCGCGAAAAACCACAAGGGGGGGTGTTCAAACACCCCCCCCAGCAGGGCGCGGGTTAATATCATGATATTATATGATATTATCTACTAAAGACAAGTGGACGCATAATATTGTTGCTGCAACAATAAGTGTACATTGTGAAATATAAATAGCCATAACCATCAAATCGTAGGGGAAGGTTACGTTTCATTCGAATTTATACTGAAGACGGCCTCGTATCGATTGTGGTAAGTTTGCGTTCTAGCTTACATCGCCTAGTGCCGGGCATCAGATTGAGGAAATGCATGTACCGGACAGGTATCAAGCCGACCATAAACCGGAGATTTACGCTGCTTCATTGAGCCTATCAGTGGCTCTATTCTGACCGACTGTTCTAAAAGCTGCATGAAGCACTGAAATGCAAACGCCGTCATTCCAAGCCAGCTGGTCCCTCGCCATTCAACCGCGGATCGATGCAGTATCAGGTAGGTGTTGATGTTGCAATAGTTTTGTCAGATATTTGGGATGCCTAGTTTGATTGTAGGATACAAGTTCATCTTTTTTAGGATTGATATAGAAAAGATTGTACCTTTAGTAATGCGTCGCTCCCTGAGGAAACAGGCTCAGACCAGCTGGCGGTTATTTGGTCTTACCTTGAGGGTACTATTTCGGTGAACTTTGACTTCTACCGAGATCGGCTCTTTCATAAAATGGCGTACACGCTCCACCACCTGCAATCGGACACATTTAGTAAATGCATGGTCACTCTGGCTGATACCTACATGGGCAACTTGAGTTACTCAATTGTCAACTTTTGATTTGATTCGCTCCCTAAGATTCAACATATCAAATGGACACTAAGCAATGAGCTTTATGATTCTCAATTCGTCGAATAACTACTTTTTTGGAATGAGACAAAAGGACAGTACAACAAAGTCTCTGGAAAGCAGTCCGCGCGGCGTTTTCCTATTTCTGCACACAGGGTTCAGAGCAAGGTCCACTTGCGATATAGTACCTACAAAATGTCATGCGATGCAGATCGATTATATTGGTGCGGTAACCTGAGGGTTAGTGCCTTTCTCATTGCTTGGCCCCAGCTGATTTATCGGCCCTTTTGATCGGCCCAGTAAGATCTCCCCCTAAGCACGGACTCACCTGAGCTGCTAACAGCGTTATGCAGACAATCAGCAAAACACTCCAGCTGATCCGACGCCACTTGTTGGACTCGCGATCAAATATGACGTCAGCGCCGGCCATCGGTCGCCACTCAGAGGTCGGGTGACGTCACTCTCAGAGATCAGGTGACGTCACTCTCAGAGATCGAGTGACGTTACTCAGATAACAGACACATCACACTGCGATACAGAGGGCACCCTAGAGCTGCAGCTTCTTCTCGGAACACCAAGCAGAGATCAAAGGCTTCAAATGGCACTTTGCAGTGGCGGCTCGCCATTTTGCACCTCCTTTCTTTCTCTTCACACATACAGAAAGTTTTCTTTCCTTTACCTTGTTCAGGTGTCAACAGCTTGATTTCCTCCGTTCGCAGGATCGAGATGTGGAAGAGATGCTTTGATGGAAGAATTATCTGGACTGGGTTATTGCCAAAGTAACGCCACCGGGCTTGCTAACATGTTCACATGGGCTCCGTTGAGCTTGAAAACCACAATCTATTGGTCCATATAGCTGAAAAGAAAGGAAATTATTGTTAGTGAATGTGTTCGAGTTGGTAAAGTCCAGGAGACAGATAAATAAACTGTATATGGCTGTCTTCTTGTGGGTGAAAATGAGATACATTAACCCTCGCCCGTAAACGGTGTTTTGCCACCTTCGCCAATGCAGGGGGGGGGGGGGTTGGTGCGACCCCCCCTGGCGTTTGAAAACGGAGCGTCGTAGAGCTTAGCGGAAAAGACCAACGGATTGCTCTCAACGAGATCTCGCGATTGGTGGTATATTTTTTGGTCCTAGGTCAACATTTGACCTACTTATGACCGGTCAAAGGTCAAATTTTCGGAAAAATCTAACTTTTTCAGATTTCCGCGCCGATTGCGGCAAAACGGTAAGAGATATCGACTTGAAACCTTCACTGTCGTGATCCTTGATCAATTCTCTATCGTTTGGTGTATATTTCGATGTCATAACTCTAAAAATGATGCGTTGGGAGCATCGGAAGTCTGCAAGGTCATTTGTGCATTGGGTCACGTCAGGCGTGTGACGTCACTGACCTGACCCTGACCCAAAATGAACTACAAGAAACAACCGACGATGCCTGAAATGGATAGCAAATTCGAATTCAGGGCATCAAAATACCCCGAAAAGGCATACAAGTGCAAGAAGTCATTACAGGTCAACCGAGGTCACTGACCTGACCTTGACCTTAAGTAACCTTGAAAAGGTCAACGGACATTGTGCCAATGTCAAATCAGCCAGTTATGATTCTAAAACAATCCATCAGTGTGTCAGGTCAGTCGGCATTTATACCAATGTGAAGCAATCTCAAATTTAGCGTAAATCTGGCCGGAGGTTGTTCCCTTTATGACGTCATAACTCCGTGACCTGACATGACCTTGACAAAAATAAATACCAAAAGTTGCGCAAAGGATGCCCCAAAGGGTACTGAAAATTTGAGCAGGCTATCTGAAACGGTTCGGCGTGTAGCACGGTTCGTCGGAAGGTCATCTCAGGCTCAAAAGAAACGGTATATACCATTCGAAAGCAGATGATGCGCTGAATCCGAAAATGTAATTTTTATCAAAATCGATCGATGGCCTTTTTTGAAAATTGCGCTTTTGTAAAAACTTAATAATTTTTTATTCAACGGGCTGTCCCAGACATTCTTGGAAATATAAACATGTATTTTTGAGTTCCAGTGAAAGCTGAATGCCAAAAGAACAATATTTAGCGAAGCAATATTTCCAAACATTAATATGCGTCTCCCACAGCCGACAATAAGGCGCAATTACACATCTCAATGTCACGATGGACCAAAGTCAGCCACACAGAAGCGTGAAATGACCCTTATCGACTCGCAGACCCGGCGCTCTCGGCCCGCCTGACCGGCCACGGAAAGAACGTTCGGCTCTCGTTCTACTAAACAAACGTCATATTTGTCAGTTTAACTGTCCACATCGCTATTAAAGTTATTCAGGATACTTGTGAAGAAAATTCATTGTTCTACTTGATTTACAACATGCTTTAATTTACATTTTTCTTATACAAGTTTTGTTCCATCCAGCTGCGCTCAGTCCCCGCGCAAGGGAAGTGAGCGGGGTTTCACTGTCAGAGGCTGTACTGGTGACAGCTGCTCGGCCGTGCGACCGGTCAAAGGTTACCCTGCCCCACCGGGCGCTACCCCCACTCCACCCGAGCTGAGGCCGGTACAACCTCTGACATTTCAGCGCGGCCAATTTTCCTTATATGGGCATGATACCAAGCACAATTGAGCAAAGAAGACATGAACAAATGTAAATTAATGCATGATGTGAAGATGACAGAGCAATGAATTTTCTTCACAGGTATCCTGAATACATTTAATAGCGATGTGGACAGTTACACTGACAAATATGACATTTGTTTAGTAGAACGAGAGCCGAACGTTCATTCCGTGGCCGGTCAGGCGGGCCGAGAGCGCCGGGTCTGCGAGTCGATAAGGGTCATTTCACGCTTCTGTGTGGCTGACTTTGGTCCATCGTGACACTGAGCTGTGTAATTGCGCCTTATTGTCGGCTGTGGGAGACGCATATTAATGTTTGGAAATATTGCTCCGCTAGATATTGTTCTTTTGGCATTCAGCTTTCACTGGAACTCAAAAATACATGTTTATATTTTCAAGAATGTCTGGGACAGCCCGTTGAATAAAAAATTATTAAGTTTTTACAAAAACGCAATTTTCAAAAAAGGCCATCGATCGATTTTGATAAAAATTACATTTTCGGATTCAGCGCATCGTCAGCTTTCGAATGGTATAAATCGTTTCTTTTGAGCCTGAGATGACCTTCCGACGAACCGTGGTAGCTAAGAAAAACCTCAGGGGGGGGGGGTTGCACCAACCCCCCCCCCACATGGGCGAGGGTTAAACGATAATTTTAGTTTCAAAACATATTTTCACATGTTTGTGCATTTCCATAGTCATTTCTCACTGCAGTGTGCACTAAGACAGTGCCTTCAGATGACTTCAACTGAATGGACCCAACCCATACAGAGCCAATCGTCTGTTTCTCTCCAGTCTTCCATCCCCAAACGCCCAGTCACACCCACCCTTTCCCGTCCGCACACGCAGTAGGCACTGTACATATGTATGCTGAGGACTCGTGTCTGGACGCTCGGCTCCCTGGGGTGCTGAGTGATCCATTAGGCACGACCTCCCTGTGTTCGACGGGCCGTCCGATCCCTCCTACACAGATCCGGTGCCGACGACAATGTGTGGGATATCCCCTCAGGGCATTGATGCATAGGTAGGTAGAGCTGCTTCGGACATAGGTTACACGGGAGTGTTAGTTAGCTGCTAAGCAAGGAAAAATTCGGCTGCAGAGATGTGGACAATGTTCCAACAAGTAACAACTGAAGCTGATAGGTACAACACAGACACTTACGAAAGCCCTTAGGCGTATCAAAGCTTTTTCTTTTTATAACCCTGGCATATAGTTTTGTTTGCTCCATTGCCTTTGTTGTTGAAAACATGTGGTGTACGATATAAGGCAAATTTGCAGTCACTTTTTGGGCTCTAAAGGCTAAATATCAGCCTGGCTGGACCATTGTTGAAACTCATGATCCCATTCTCTAATTGGAGCAATTTTCCGCATTAGGGGAGAGTGGGGTAAGATGCCCAGGGTGGGAAAGACGCCCCACCCCCTCTAGCGGCGAAACAAAGAATCGGACCTGGAAATTAATGTTCTTAGCGTAAAGCGGAAGCCTGCCTTGTTAACTGCACAAAAAATTGCGAAGCTCAGTTGGGCAACGGCTGGCTGATGATTGTATGTTTTTTATTTGCTGCTTTCAAAAAATATTTTGGTGTCAGAACATTGTAAATATCAAATAAGGTAAATAATTTTTGCGTCCCTTGCTATAGTCGTGATACATTAGCATGCGTGTACTGTGTCCCAAACAGTTTGTTTCAGGGTGTAGTTTTATGGCTAACAAATTGTACTGATTTAATGTTACTTCGGTACCTTGGGGTAAGATGCCCCCTGACCTGATGGGGAAAGACGCCCCCCTAAATCCGTAGGCTGTCCTTCAAACAGCCCGTCAAATAATTTATTACGTACTTGTGATGTAGACAAAAGCCGACCTGGGACTATTGAGAGTCCAGTACGGTCGGGTGCTCCCCATGCCGGTCTCTCGGCCCACATAGCGACTTTTTGGGCGGCATGTGACTCTGAGAGCCCTCACGACGGCCTCTGTGGGCCCCTCACGACATCCTTTGAGGGCTCCCACGTTGGCCCCACGGGCCGCGCTGGCATCGGAGGTCCCCACAATGGGCTCGAGGGCCCTCAAGCATCATGAAGACCTATAAGAGCCCCACAGTGGTCTCCGAACGCCACCACGGAGGCTTGTTTGGCCGCGCTGGACTATGATGGCCCTAACGATGACCTCTGAAGCCCCTTACGACTACTTTTGAGGGCCCTTATGATGACGTTTGGTGTCTACTGCAGGCTCGAAGGGACTACTGATTCGTTCAGGCGATTCACTTGCCCATTTATGTCACTTATAGTGCAGGGGGCATCTTTCCCAACGTCAGGGGGCGTCTTTCCCACCCTGTGGGGTAAGATGCCCCCTTTCACTTCTTCAAGAAAATGCTTAATAGCAAAAAAAGTTATAATATTTCAGGCACGAAAGTGTGATATGTTTGGAGAAAAATGATGTCGGCTTCTGTTGAAACTCCAAGTTTTTGCTTTCCCATCGTCATTTTCGAATAATACATGACATAGCAAAACCCTGGGCATCTTTCCCCACTCTCCCCTATTTGGTGATTGACCTCGATTCCATTGTGGATGATGGCTAACCTAATTCAGTTCCCTAGATTGAGATAATGGTGCGCCACTGATCCATTGGCATAGGCGACCGGAAACAATTATCTTTATTCTTATCATTATGTATCTGCAGTCTATAAAACTGTTCACTGTTAACGATGTTTTCTGAAAACGTTAATGTATTAGCCTGCATTACTATTCTTAATTATGTTTCTCACAAGAACACAAACATGTAATACCAACAACACTTATACAGGTACGAATAAACAAACAAACAATGTCATTAAAGTTTACTAATAACTCAATAGCAACAAAACAAACATGCAAACATTCAGTTAATCATCATTGTAATTTTGTTTTTAAATTTCCGATTCATCATGATTTCTACCTCCCTATAGGGGTGAAGAAATTAAACCCTATTAGTGGCAGGCCCTGGCTACACAGCTGTTCCGGTAGAGTTGTTTTGCGCCTTTGCGGTTTTTCCTTGGCGAGAAAAATAAATTACAAGTATTTTTGCATCAGCGGTCTGTTGGCACCTCATGAACACATAAACAGCCATCCCTAGCGTGTAATTTTTTGTTTCGTCTAGCCGCCACACCTGCCGGTAAACTTGGATCAGCTAAACCATGGTGCCGGAACAGGGCGGTCCTTTGAGAATGGGTCTGGTGTGAAAGGTGGGAGGGGTGGGGTGGGGAGGTGGGAGGGTGAGTCGTCTGA